GAATGAATTTTATTTTATGAATGAAAAAAGTTCTTGTGGTTTGATTTACAACCATGCTTTTTCGTCCATTATTATTAATTTTTTCTTGTTTGAGGTTTGTCAAAAAGTTGGATTCAATTTTCCACCTTTCTGTCCTGCATCAAGTGGTATCAATAGCTCGGTTTGAAGACGATTAGAGATTGTGATGGTTGGTTGTGGAGGTCTTAGTTGTTGGGATGCGGATCTGATTCATTTGCGTAAGGAAATCGTCAACTTGATGGAGAGGGTTACACAATTGTTATGCAATGGAGGTCAGCAACAATGTGCCCCTAAACAAGGAAGAATCTACAGGGATAAAGATCCATATTGTGAGGGTTTTTATGGAGATTGGTACGAATTATAGTTTGAGTTTCGGTTGGAGCGGGCTAATGATGTGTCTAGTTATATAGATAGGTTTGATCCTTAGCGAGGTTCTATGAAGTGGAGTGCCCTGGTTCGAGGCTATTCTCGAGTGAAACGGTTGTCATTTGCTGTTAGCAGTTAGCTTTTCTAGCAACTTTCCTATATGTTGTTTACAAAGTGCTTTCCTCTAGCACCCAATCTTTCTGCGGCCTACAGCTAGTGGAGACAACGACTAATAAGATTGACGACAAGAGAACACCTTGCTATTGCTTGCCTTTGGAATAGACTAATTGCTAGCCTTTGGACTAAAAGCTAGGAGTGCTAGCCTTCGGACTAAAAGCTAGGAAGAACTATCTTTCGGAAAGATACGACTGTTGATACCTTAGTCGCTCCTGTAGGTCTGTTAAGGTGAGTATAAGGAACTAGGGGCACGACTAATATGGCTTTAGTGTTGGTGTTGTTATGTTTGTAGCCCCCCCCCTCGGGTTGGGGCTTGGGGGGATGGACACTCAATGGGAGCATAATTTTGAAGGAGAATGTTAAGGATCCAATCTTCAATTAGCTTCAATAGTCTTTAAATTAGTGGATGGTCCTATCTTTGATAGTGCTCCTATTTGTGACAATGATCGTATTTTTGATAAAGAACCAGGTGATCCTATCTTTGATGGTGATCTGCTTTTTGATGAACAATTCAATTAAAATAAAAAACTTGGAGTTCCTATTTATTGCGAGAACAAGTTGCAGTCAATGGAAATAATCGTCGTAATGATGGTAATGACTCCAATAGTGTTGTGGTAAAGAGGTAAAGAGGAAGCAACTGGAGGCGATGACTGTAAAGAGCTCTTTTCCCTCACCAATAGTGGGTTGAATGAATGAAATCAAGAGCTAGGAGATTCAATAGTTAATCTTATTTTTTAAGAAATTTCATGAATGTGGGTGTACTTTATATTTTTATTCGGGTTAATATTTTAGGAATTGTAATGTGGGGTTTATCTCCAACACTTAGCTTCTATTTTTTTACTATTCAGCAAGTACTGCTCATAATATCTTTTACGAGTTACCATTCATAGTTACTGTTCACAGGGGTATTTTTTGACTTTTTAATATTCTTTAGGGGTAATTTAGAGTGTTAAATTATTTACTTAGATATTAAGTTAATTTTTGGGCATAGGCTTATAAAAGGGGAGACATCACTTTATGGGGTGCTTATGTTATTGAAATGAATTTTATTTTATGAAGGAAGAAAGTTCTCTTGGCTTGATTTACAATCATATGTTTTCTCCATTACTACTGATTTTTACTTGCTTGAGGTTAGGGAAAAGATGGATTTAATTTGCCACCTTTCCTTCCCACATTAAGTTCCTAAATGGTAGTCATAAGGTCCACATTAAATTCCTAAATGGTAGTCATAGGGTCCCACATTAAGTTCCTATGGGGGTTGAGATCTGACTCGCCCACTAATATCTCATGAGTCCAAGGTGTGAGATGCCCCCAGACCGGCAGGTCGATGTAGTAGATGGGGCCTGTGACAGTATATGGGCTTGATGTGTGAGCCGGGTCCTAGCTCAATTAGGTCATAAGATATGAGAGTTGAGTCTAACCTATGCTAGATTGGCAAGATAAAGATGGTTTAAAATGATTTGATGTAACTTCTATAGGTAGGGGTTCAAGGGGGGGATAGTGGACCTAGACAAGACATGAAATGTTTCTCAGGTCTAGATACACCCATGTGGGTCCTGATCTTGCCTTGAAGCGAGTGCTTGGGTCCTATTCATGTGGGGTACTCTTAGAGGTAAGGTTAGTGGAGTGGTGCTCACATAAAAGTTGTGGTCTCCAACTGTCCTAGTTCTAACGAGCAAGGTTCCCCTCAGAACTTGATCGTGGGTTTAGAAAATTTGGAATGATTTTTAGTAGGTGTGTGTAAGATGTGCGAAAAAGTGCACATAGTGGATTTGGTGCAAAAGTGACAGGCACACAACAAATAAGGCAAGCAAATATTTTATGTAACCAAAATATTGCAAGCAAATATTCTAGTTCAAATGAAAATTAGCAAGCAAATATTCTATAGCAATATTGATACAAATCCTAAAAATGCAATAGATACGACAATTCATAGAAATAGCGAAAGGAAGGCAGGCAGCTTGTTTTATTTTAGTAAAAATAAAATTTAATTGGAGAAATAAGAGACAACAAATAACAACCTTTTTTTTGTATGTTTTCTATGAACTTTTTAATTTTCAGCATTGTTTCAAAAAGCGGACCGCCCAATGCCTGAGTGGCCACCTAGGCGGATTTCCCTGGGCCCCCGCTTGAATCAGTCTAGGCGGTCGCCCAGGGCCTGCGGCCCACCCAGGGGCAGAACTATGGCTCTTTGAGGGTATTTTTTGGTCATTTTTTTAATACTAAAGCCCATTAGAGGCTATTTTAGAGAGAGAAAACCCCAAAAAAAAAAATTTCTTTTGGGCCACCCAGGTTTTGACCGCCTGCCTAGGCGATGGGCAGCGTGGACCCCCCCGACCGCCTAGGAGCTGCCTAGCGCTTTTTGAAACACTGATTTTCAGTAACATGAATGGAAACCATAAAAAATAAAGAAAAAAACTGTCAGAAGAAGAATTTGGCCCCTTGGGAAGCTGTGGGTGCTGGAAAGCAACGGAGCATGGTGAGCCATTGGAATGACTACGTGGTGCACTGCTGAACCGTATCAGTGGCGCATTATGAGCCTCCAGCAGTTGCATATGAGCTGCTGAAATCATTCGGCTTCCAACACATCCAGAGGCCTCAATGCTCTCTTCTATTGTCCCTAAATGGTCAGAAACAACCTTTGGAACTGGGTTTCAGGGATTGTTTTGACTGTTCTTATGAAGATCCAAGCTTGACGAGCCCCACTGTGGGCACCAAACTTTTTACATGCGATTGTGGAAGAGTCAGACTATGAAAGACTATCTCAACCTGATCCATGTCGAAACATAGTTATTTAAAATGACTAGTAGAGATGGGTCATGTCAAATTGCAATAAGTAATTGGCCTTGGGGGAGACTCTTTCGTCACAGATCATCGGCTAGGGGCCTGCTTAGATCTGTGTAAACTAGAGAGACATTGTAAATTGTAAGAAAATAGGAAGAGATGCCTTTTGGAGGGTTTTAGAAATGCAACTACGAATAATGAGAGAAAGTAAGGAAAATGAAAGAAAAGGAAAAGAATGATACCTGGAAGCTTGGCCCCTAGGCCTGGCACCCGAATTTAGGTTCGGATCAGACAGTACGGTGAGTCTGTGGTCCTTCCTCTTCGAGTTTGGCTGAACCAGTAGCTTCTTGAACTCTAGGGAAGGGTTTTGAGCCTAGGAATATTCGTCTAGGGCTTCAATGCTAGAAGGAATGTTCCTCTTCTAGGTTTGATTGGATTTTTACAGAGGTTTGAGTTTGAGCTCACCTAGGGTTTGCTAGGGGGTTTTCTAGGGTTTGTTGTGTTAGAAGCAATATGGTGAGACTTGGCCGAGTAAGTCAGCCTCGTGGCCAAGTTTCCCTAAGTTGTGTGTACAACTCGGGATTATTAAAAGAAATTTAAAAAATTCCAAAAAAATTGTAAGAAAAATGTGCAATTGGTTCAAAATTTTTTGTGTACGATTTGTTATTTTTGGTAAAGATTGGTGAATGTTTTTTCCATAAACCCCTATTTTTATATTTTCTCTTTTTTTTTTTTGATTTTCTAAAATGCCCCCAACTACAATAAATCTGTTTTTTCTAAATCCATTTTCCAATACTTAATCTTAATTTGACTCGTTAAGTTTTTTTTTGTTTTATTTTGCTTTAACTACATGTATCTTATTTTTTGAATTTTTTTTCTTTTTTCTTTTCTTTTTTTCAATTTATTGAGGGATTTTCAACCCTATGCAGGACTCGGCCAAGTCCTTGAGTAATTCGCGTCGGCCAGGGGGCGAGTTCCTTGGCCGAGTCCGGTCTTGGCATAGTGGTTGGAACTGAGGAGGATAGGGTTAGGTTTCTGTCTATTCTGGAAGATCCCCCAAAAATCACTGGAAGAGGCCTATAACTAGGGTTGTCCATGCCTCAGTGGCTTGTTATGCATCACTGCAAGAGGCTCATACCGTGCCTTTGAGCTCTCCAGCCTCCGAATTTTGCTGCATGGCCGGTGTTTCCCTTTGGCAACTAGCCTCGCAATTTCAGTCCTGTGTCTGGCAGTTTCGGATTTTTTTTCCCTAACATGCTGGGACCTGCCTTATTTTTGGTTTCGATTCTCCTAAAAATAAGTTCCCATAATTTTTAGGGAATATTTGGTGTCTGGACTGTGGTCTGGATGTGTACTACAATCTGGTATGTCCTATGATTCACTATGCTAGTGTGGTCCCTAGGATTCAGGCTTGTAGGTTTTTGAGAATCTCCTTAGTGAAAATTCCCCCCCGGTGTATGGTGGGGTTATCTACACCTTGCTTGAATTCTAATGTCTTACCTCCTTTGTATCTGAGTTCACAGTTGCATACTCTGATTTCTTGAAAGATATAAATGTTTTGATGGTTGAGAAAGTTCTACACAAATTCTTTATCAGAATTTTTGCTTTGTTAATTTTACTCTGTAGTTTTCTAACTGCCACTTTTCATTCGGCAGTCAGAGATGAAAATGTTTGGTGGAGTTGACACTCTAGCTCTTAAGCAACATTTTGGCAAGAAGCTCTTGGAACTGGAGGAGGAAAAACGTATTGTTCAGGTTGGTGGAATTATGCCAGCTCTTTTCCCATCCTGATCTTGTTTAAAGTTTGTGTTATCAGTTGGAGTTTTCTTATGATCTGATTTATTCATTTCGTGCTTGATAAACAAACAAAAGCAAGAGAGAGACCACCTTTTTGCTGAAGTTGAGAGCCTTGCTGCCACTTCCGATGGACAAACACACAAAATGCGGGAAGTTCATTTGCAGAAACTAAAAACCCTTGAATCACAGGTGAAGTGGTTCTGTTGGAACTTTGAAATGATAGAAAAATATACTGCTAAAACGTTTAGCTGAAACTTATATGTTGTGTATAATGATGCTCTTAAATTGTTTTCTGATTGCTGTAGTTCGATTATTGATCAGATATGGTTTATCTTTTTGATGTTTATACATGTTACAATTCAGATTTTAGATCTTAAGAAGAAACAAGAAAGCCATGTTCACCTTATAAAGCAGAAGCAGAAAAGTGATGAAGCAGCGAAAAGGCTCCAGGATGAAATACAATCTATTAAGGCACAAAAGGTGATATGCAGTTTTTGCTAGTGATCATTTTTTCTTGCTAGTGATCATTCATAATTGTCATACTCTTCTGGGAACCCTGTGGTACTCCTTTCTCAGTATCTTTTCTGGATGGCAGGTCCAATTGCAGCATAGGATAAAACAAGAGGCAGAACAATTTCGTTTGTGGAAGGCTTCTCGTGAGAAGGAGCTCTTGCAGGTATTAAAAAGTTTACTCAAATACATATGCCTTGGTTTCTCTGTCTTTGTTCCAGGTGTCTTCCCCGAATTGTAGAGAATTCTATAGAGGGTGTTCTCTTCGGAATATCGCTTACTGTATACTGTATTTTACTTAGAAGGAATGGTATGATGTATGTGACTATGAAACAATGTGATTTTAACAATGTTTTTTGATTTGGCTTGGGCCTTGGACTCGGCCCCGGCCTGAGCTGAGTAAATGTACAAAGCCCCCCCAAAAAAAAAATGGTTGTTTGCGTAAGGTTGCATCCTTAAACAATCAAAATAAGATGCACCTCCAAACTTTGTCTTTTGATGCAATTTTGGTGTCGAAAATTCTTAAGATGGCACGAGAGTCTAATTTCATATCTAATTATTAAATTTTAAACTCCAAATATCGTTCAAATCAAGAATAGCTATAAACGTACGAAAATCTTGAAAATGGACGGTCCAGATAATGTGTTGCAAAATGCGCTTTTTTTTTTTTTTTGAAATTGTTAACTATTAAAGGAGAAGATAGGTTAACATGGATAGGGTAGAAGCCACACACAAGAGGGGTGCCCTTGACAAAAAAATAGGCTTCTCAACTAGTGGTAGCCCTATACAAAAAATGGGACTACTCCATAAAGGACAACCCAGTAAATAGAAGCAAAAATTACAGGACGCTTTAAACCGACTGTGAAAACCAAAAAATCAGGTGGTGCTGGTGAGCATTCTGGCTTTAGCGAGGGTGTCCGCTTCGGTGTTGGATTATCGCCAAGTATGCCTCCATAAGATGATCATATCCTTGCAAATATAGGATATTTCATCATAAATAAGTGTTAGTGACCAGGAGCAAGGGGAGGACCTAGAAGCCCAAGTGATAACGTTTTGAGCATCTTCTTTGATGATGAGGGGTTGTGGCCTTGAAGGTTCGAAGAGCTTGAGACCTTTACGGAGGGCCAAGGACTCGGCTGACTGCAAAATGTACTATTTTTGGGAGTTGAAATCTTTTTTTTCTCCTTATCCATACATCTCAATGTCGAGATGATCGAGTAGATGTTTCTCCAACATCAAAACAACTTCTTTCAAAGGATTTTTGGGGTGCACCCTAATTCTACATTTTAAGGTGTCAACCTTATATAAAATTTTTTCAATAAAAAAAGCTAAAAATAACATAAAAACTTACAAAAGTGAAGCAAAACTAAAAGTAGCATAAGGAATCCAAATAAGATGAAAAAACATAAAAAACATAGATTTAGAAAGAATTAATATAGGGTTGGAGACATTTTAGAAAAATCCAAACAAAAAGGACAGTACAAACATAGGGCATTGGACAATAAAAACTCAAAAATCATTGTAAAACACAACTTAATAATTTTTATTTTAATTTTTTAATATAAACCTGAGATGTACCTAGGTACTCAGCTTGACCAGGGGCTGAGTACGAGTCGTTAAACCTGGAGTTTAATGTTAGGAGGATCAAGTAATTGTCAAGGCTTTGATGATTAGCTGCATTGAAGTTTTTGGGGGAGTACTAGTCTTTTGTCATTTTAGAAGGGTGGTTGTTCTTGAGTGAGGAGATGTGGGTAGTCTTCCATCATTTGATTTATCACCTGATCTCAGATCACCTGATCTCTTTTTTTCTCTTTCTTTCAGTTATGGTAGATTTTTTATGTTATTTGGTCAATATATATGTTACATGTTATTAATTTTGCCTCAAAGATTGGTCATCGATTTTTTGTTATTCAATTCTGAGGGATGACTTGTCTAAATAGCTTACTTTTCCTCAAGTGTATCCCTTGTTATCTAATTTTAGATGGATTAGTGTGAAATTTGTGCATATAAATGTAATTAGGGCTGGAATGTACTGGCCATTCTGTTCAGTCGGATCGGGAATTGGACCAGTAACCGGTTTAGTTCAATCACTGAACTTGCATATTGATCAAAACCGGTTAAAGCCAGTCTCAAATGGTTTGAACAGCCAGTTTGGACCGGTTCAGACTGGCTTTGAAGTATTTTTCTATACTCAATATTTTTCTGATCATTTGTTGAAAGCTGGCTGACAGCTGAAATGACAACTGGTGCGATCTTGATAGCATTGGCGTAGATGGTGTATGCTTGCTATATTGTTCTTGTCTTATAATTATTTCTCATTTCAATGAGTTCTATTCAGTTTATTGGAATGCATTTGGTTCTGTTTACTTATACAGTTGATTGAATGCTTATGCATGGTCAGCTGCGGAAGGAGGGAAGGAGAAACGAATATGAAAGGAGGAAGTTGCAAGCTTTGAACCAACGGCAGAAAATGGTATAACCCTGATAATTATCTTGTTTCACGGTTAATTTCAAAATATATGCACAACATCATTTGAGAATGCAAATAGTTATGAAAGCAATGGGTTACATATCTCTTTATTTCAACCCTATTGAAAGGAATTACCATATACTTGATCATTTACTTATGTAGCCCTGGAACTTCTTTTGTCAACATGTATGTTTTTCAGCTGATTAAAAGAAAGCATGCATCTTTTTCCTTCTTTTCCTATGTGACTTTTTTATCATCTATCAACAGAATTCAGATGCACTTTTCACTTCCACAGTGAAATAATGTAATGGATTTTAATTTGCCTTTACAATTTTGTGGCTTAAATGCTGAGTCTTGTTAGGACTAGTTTGTAGCGGTGCAGATATGATGTGGCACTCACAAATGTGTCCCCAGAAGTGTTCCTTCAAATGTATCAAATAGCACCAACAAAAGAGAGAAGGCTTTCTTGATGAATTGCTTTTAGTGGAAATTTATGATTTTGTAATTTCTGTAAACGTTATGCCATAGTTGACAAGAAACGTGTCGCTCATTAATATCTTTGGTTCTTTCCTTTTCAAGTCTCATTGCCTATACATATGTAACGATGCATGTGAATAACCTGTCATGTGTTCTTTGATCATGCTTCTCCTGGATTTGCAGTTTCTCTTTATATTCTGTATCACTTATGTTCTTACAAATGATCCATTCTTTATAATCCACCAAACCTTGTATCTGCCAGGTGTAGTTCTGTTCACAATTTGTTCTTCTAGGGTCCTTTCTTCTCTCCATGACAGCTTTCTGAGAAGTCTATCATTCTGAAAACATCTTCTGATTGCAATGTCTTCTGCTTGAGCTGAAATTTTGTTTCTAGCATGCCTTAGTTTACATGATTTTGGTTAAAGATTTGAGCTTCATTTCATCGCAACACTTTTTCCCAAACCCTTTAAAGGCCATTTATTATCTTTCAATTCATGACATGTATTGGATATTACTCAAGGACATGCTATAGGTGTATCTTGAACCTATGGTTGTTCTCTCTTTAACCCTCATTGGTTTCTTACTATGCTTTAGCCTATGTCTAACTGGTGTTCTCTTGAATGATGGATCATTGTCAACATGGATTATTTTTCTTTATTATGTAACAAAGCATTGAAAATAATGCATGCATCTAGTTGCTGCAAGGGTGCACATGATGGATGTGAATGCAATGGGTCACAAGAAGCTAACAGCAAGTAAGAAAGCAGAAATAACAATGGTACAACTGCAAAGGTTTTTTCTCCGAAGTAAGGAATTAATGCCAAATGGGCTGGAACCCCACCCCTTCTGTAACAAGCGAGAGCAGAAAGTACTGATTAGAGAGAAAGTGGGTAGTCATGCTTAGGGCCTATACTGGAAGGAAGCTTAGGGTTCATCTCCGTCCTGGTAAGAGCCAACTATAGATCTAGTTTAATGCTTAAAGAAGATCCTAGTTTTTATCTAATACTACAAAAGTTCTGTAAAATAAGATGTGCAATTGGTGTAATATAGTTGACACAAGCCTTGGAACAATTTACACGAAATGATAAATGGATGATCATACAAAGATATTTACAGCCATGTGTCTCTATCACTTCCGACTTCTTCACATGCCTTTTCTTTTGTTAAGCAACGAAAACAGTGTTTATACATATATATGTAAGCATAAACAGGTTGTCATGTGTCTGGAAGTATTCATACTCTCTTCTCTCAGTAACATGTTTACATGCTGTATAGGAACCGGGATGAATGGATAATTATGAGTTGAACAGTCATTCAACTTTGATAAGTGTTGTACGGGTTCAAAAGTTGCCTTGGATGCCAGCTAGCAAGGTTCCATGGATGAAGTCTGCAGTGTCTTTTTCTGACAGTTCGTACTACACGAAGACTACTTAGTTTTAATTACATGTTGTTCCTAATCACAACATCCCTACCGCAACTACTACAAGTTTTGAGTAGGACATACTGAGGTTTAATGGGTCACCTTTACTATTAGTTTTTTTTGAGGCAAGTGCTGCCATCACTATTATCTTTGTTTTTTCCCTCTATTTTTCTTTGAACTTGGTGTGCATGACGACCCTGGGCATAAGAACCTTTCACACATGCTTCAAATGCTAAACTTATAGTGCTGGGTGTTGTTTATCCATGACCCTGCATGGTTCAGGATAACATAAATTTTTATTAGCTGTTTGAGGTCAAATTTTTCTGTCGGTCCATTCATTGATGTATTTTCTAATTTGGAAACTTAAATTATTACTTTTAAGAATGATAACTCCGAACCTGGTGAAAATGGAACTTTGGATGTTCCTTTGTTGCACCTTCCACCCCGACCTCCTCTTCCTAGAGAGACATTGTGCAATCTGTTATCTTTGGCTGCTCTAAGTTAACCAGAAAATAGATAAGCTAAGTTAATAGACAAATTTCTTTCGCTTACAGGTTCTTCAAAGAAAGACAGAAGAGGCTGCTATGGCCACGAAGAGGCTAAAGGAGTTACTTGAGACTAGGAAGTCTTCTCCTCGCGATACTGGAGGTAAATTTGTTTTAATAGAAAACTATCATCTCATGTGCGCCTGACTTCCTTTCTGACTCATGCTTTTTTCTCTTTAGTTGCCGGTGGTGGAAATGTGTCACCTGGCCAGGTAATTCTTTGAGAACTTCATATCATTATCTGCCCGTGTATAATTCTCAAAAACTATTATGTGCCTGTGTATACTTTTTCAAATCATAGAACTGTTTTTCCCATTCTGCACTATACTGGCAGTTGAAATGTAGCTAATAAGTCGAAAATTGGAATATGTACACTTTGTGTAATCGCTGAACTAGGCAAACAATTTTTTCTATTCTCTTTCTGATTTATAACACTCCAGTCACAGAGCAATGAAAAATCTTTGCAAAGGTGGCTTGATCATGAATTGGAAGTTATGGTGAATGTGCATGAGGTCCGTTGTGAATATGAAAAGCAAAGTCAAGTGTACGTATTCATGAACTCATGGTTGGATATATGGTCTGCGTTGTGTACGTATGTCTGGTTCACAATGAAAGCATGCATATTAAGTTTGATTTCAACTGCCTTTCAGGAGGGCTGCATTGGCAGAGGAACTAAGCAAATTAAAACAAGAGGACGAGATGTGTTCTAGTGGTCTTAGCCCTGCAAGAGGGAAGAATGGAAACTCTGCCAGGTGTGTGTGTGTGTGTTCTATATCTAATAAATATATATTGCAAATGCATTTCTTTCTTATTGAAAGGGATATTTTATAGTTTTCAGTAATTGAGTATATGGAGTAATAATGGTAATGATGTTGTTAAATTCTATTTAGATGCTTTGTTTTGGATGGGGAAGAGAAGCTCATCAGTTCTTCAGTTGATTCTGGGGAATCTTGGGCCTTTTTAAGAAGACAACTTAAACAATAAATAAAAATAAGTTTTCTTCACCAAAAATAGGACTGGAGATGGTTAAGAATAAATAATCCTAATATAACTTATGGGGCTTTTTTTTTCTTTTTGCCAATTTGATATTGTTATTGTAGTAAATGTAAGTCGAAAGTTATTTTAAATATGTTATTATTGGTAATGATAATGTAGGTAAGTTGAATTTGTACTTTTAAAATATTAGTTTTTAAGAAGGTTGATTGTGCAAGAAGTGTTTGTACCATCACCATTTATCCAAGCCTCAACACTATCCACATTTTAATTTTCCAATTTAAACCATAGTTACCGGGAATGGGAGCAACAAGAGCTCTGGAATCGAAGCCATGCGGAGCAAGATAGGCTCAAAGATCTGTGGTTGGGGAACGAGGTCTCTACATGGTAAGGTATAGGGATCGAGATTCCAAACTATTAGGGAGCGTCTTATATTTACATACGGGTGAATTTCTTACTTAATGTAATCTTGCACCATCGTGTTTAGGAATGAGGTTCTTGAAGTTCACTTATCCATCGCATTATAGTTAGGGAGCGAATTCCATTGAACAATGAGAAAAATGGCAAGACATTGCCATGTATAATTCTCAATAGCTCTCATCCGTCGAGGATAGCTTGGGGCTCAATGACATATACACAAAAGAGACCTCACTTTTTTCCAAGTATACACGTTATCCCATCTCTCATAAGGCAACCCATGAGAGGCTCGATTTGGTTGACCAACTCAAGCGATGGAAGTCCTTAAGGAGGTGGACATGACCTAACGAACTCGCCCCTAGGATGTTAAGCATATTGATCACGACCTCATTCCTCACTAGAACTGAAACATGCTAAATTTGTTTCCTTCCAACTAGTTCTCTCTCCTTACTCTTGTTGCCCTTATTTGAAACTAGAAACAAGTCACAATTTATGTAAAGTTGTGAATTGCAAAATATATAAAAATTCATGGTATTCAAAAAGTTTGTAGGTCATAAAAAATTGGAGATCTACAGTTCATTACATACGAACCAAAAAATGTGACAGTGAAACTCGATCCCAAAGCAGAAGATACTCGATTCCAAGCTGGTAAATCGCAATCCTGCTTAATCACGAAACCTTGATTTTGGGCATGGAGATCTTGATCCCATTACATGAGATTGAGTTCCCCTATTCCTTGAATCGCGATACCAAATATTGAGGAATCGCCTGGAATCGAGATCCCATGTTATGGAGCGGGATCGAGCTTCCGGAGCAGAAGCCACTTACCCCCATTAGAAGATCCCGGTAACTAAGATTTAAACTTCGAAATGTATTAGTTATGGGTGTGGTTTCCATAAGGTTGCAACCTTAAACAATCCAATTAAGGCGTACCTTCAAATTTGATCATAACATATAATTTTGATGTAAAAGATTCTTAGGATTATCTCAAAATCTATTTTCGCAATTAATTATAAAATTTTAAACTTAAAAAATGGTTAAAATCAAGTAGATCTATAAACATACGAAAATTTTGAAAATGGACGGTCTAGATAATGTGTTGTAAGATGCACTATTTCTGGGACTCAAAATCTTTTTTTATTTTATAATCATACATCTCAATGTCAATATGCTTAATTAGATGGTTTTCAACATTAAAACAACCTTTTCCAATGAAATTTTGAGGTGCATCCGTAGTTCTACATTTTAAGGTTGTAATCTTATATAAACTTTTTCATTAGTTATTGTATCTTCAAGGAATTTATCAATAAATATAGAAAGGATTCTTTTTATCTTTATTGCTTGTGTATGATGACTCGACTATGGATTCATCATCATCATCAAAATCTTTTCCCTGCTATTTGGGGTCAGCTTCATGAATCTTAGTTCGCCATTCTGCTCTATCAAGGGGCATATACCCTCAGTGAGGCCATAAGTGGCTATATCGTTTGTCACTACTTTCAATCCTTTTGAGTACCCCTTGCCATTTTTTAGCCTTTCACTTGAACCAACTTGCACCTCCTAATAGGTGCTGTACTGGGTCTACGTTGCATATGGTCAGCCCATCTAAGTCTACTTACTCTCGTCTTATCGCCTATTGGAGCCACACTGAAGTTCTCCTGAATGTGTTCGTTTCTAATTGTATCTCTTCTTGTCTTGCCTCTCATCCATCTCAACATCCTCATCTCAACTATACTCACCTTATGGGTATTGGTGTTTCCTGACCGCCCATCATTCTACCCCATAAAGCAAAGCTAGTCTCACTTCAGTCTTATAGAACTTCCCTTTCTGCTTTATTGGTATGCGGGAATCACATAAACTCTCGTTGCATATTTCCACTTCTCCCACCCATCTCTAATTGTATGTACGATATCTTCCTCAATCTTCTCCATTTTTCTAGATTATTGACTCAAGATATCAAAAGTGCCCTCTTTTTGGTATTTGTCGGCCGTCAATCTTAATTACTTCTTTGTCTCTACTCTTATTATTACTAAACTTTCATTCCATGTACTCTTTCTTATTCCGCCTAATTTTAAAACCTTTAGATTCTAGAGCATCATTCCAAAGTTTGAACTTTATGTTGACGCCACTTCGAGTTTTGTCAATCAAAACTATGCAGTCCGCAAACAACATACACGATGGTACTTCATCTTGTAGGTGCTTAGTTAAGCCGTCTATGACTAAGAGAAAAAGGTATGGTCAACACTGACTTCTGATGTAGAGCTAGTATCATTGAAAAGTCACTCGTTTCTCCACTATTTGTTCGTCCACTAGTTTGTGCTCCCTCGTACATATCTGTCACCAATTCGATATAGCATCTGGCGACTAATTTCCTTTCTAATGCCCAACAAATTAAATCTTGTGGTACGCTATCGTAAGCTTTCTCTAGATCAATAAAGAGCGTGTGGAGGTCTTTTTTCCCTTCGTCCTAAACTTCTCAATTAGTTGCCTAAGTAGGAAAATAGCCTCAATTGTTGATCTCCCTAATTTTAAAATTCAAACTTTTCCTAATTAAATTAGAAAATCAATAGTGCAGCAGACTTTCCTTGTATGAATTTCAATATGGATATTACATCAAGATTTTCTTACCACAAAATAATAGTAAAAGCTCTTAATATGTTCAGTGTAGCATATTTTGACAATTTTTATTCATGTTTGGTGAAATATTGCTTTGCTTCGGCCGATTCATCCAAAGCTAAATGAACCTAACAACATTGGTTATAATTGTTGATGTTAAAAAATTACTGATTGTTTCCCTTATTTAGAATGGCTGCCATGTCTCCCAAGTCAAGATTGTCAAGAATCACATCGCTTGAGAACATGCTGAACATTTCCTCAAACACGCTTGTGGCCATGGCATCCCAGCTGTCAGAGGCAGAAGAGAGGGAGCGTGCATTTACTGGGCGAGGCCGATGGAATCAGTTGCGCACTATGGGAGATGCAAAGAGCTTGCTTCAATATATGTTTAATGCTGCTGCAGATGCAAGGTATTTTGACTCTTGGTTTATGACCTAATGGCCCATTTGTAGATATTTACTTTCATGGAAGTTGGCATTGAATATATTCTGTTTCCCATTCTATTCTTATGTTTCACTTTAAACTGCAAGTTATGGGCCTTTTTTTTATGTAAGCATTGTTTGTCTGCAGATGCAGACTCTGGGAGAAAGAAATTGAAAACAAGGAGATTAAAGAGCAAATGAATGAACTTGTTGGCTTACTGAGACAGAGTGAAGCTCGTCGTAAAGAAATCGAGAAGCAACATAAGTTGAGAGAGCAAGCTGTTGCAATTGCTTTGGCAACATCAGCCTCGGTGAGATTGTAGTTATTAGACTCCTTTTTTCCTAATTATTGTTTTTATTTATTTTTTGCAATTGATTAATATTGAAAGCCCTAAACAGACCATCTCATATCAAATAGTACGAAAGGAACACAACTATTTCTAAACTAGAAACAATTAATGTGGGACATTCAATGTGATGTGGAAAGTATACCCAGGGATCTACACCATGCAGTTTGTTTGGACCAGATGATTCACTCCTCAAAATTCATCTCCACTCACTACTTGCATAGAACCTTTCACTAAGTGTGCAATCTTAGTGAAATCATAAAACCTCTAAGTCTTAATCATCATTTGCATACTCATTAGCCCTGAACTTGGTTTCCAAATATGCATTGTATCTGTGTCATGAAGAGTCTTCCACAAAATAAGTTCAGGTTTCCAAACATGCATTGTATCTATATCATGAAGAGTCCTCCTCAAAATAGTTTAATTTTTCATCTGCTCATATGCCTAGTTTGTTGTTCTGAATTTTTGGGAAGAGATTGTTGAAGTGCTATTGTACCACTGAAATGTCCAGTTTCTAGGCCTGCAAGAGTTGTAGAAAGCATTATAAAAAATAATGTGAAAGGCATGATGATCATTGATGCGAAAAGCTTTACAAGATACTTCTTCTGCCTTCTTAGTCCAATATTTGATATCTACTGATAAAGCTGGTCATCTATTTATAGAACTTATGTGTTTCTATTCGTTTAAATACTTGAGTGTGTTTCACTTGAGAAGCTTGATAAGATTCGTCATAATAGTAGCAGCAGGAGTTGAGTCAGACGACTCAAACAACATAGGCTGCAGATTAGAATTGGATTTATTTCATAATTACCATACCTCCTTCATGTATCGAGGCATGGTCCATTTGAAGAATTTGGCTTCCATAGTCTTCCGAAAAACTATCATTATCCAAATTTTACTATTCATAGGCTGCATGTGCATGGCCCATCTCATAACTTGCAGGTCTACTTTGGAAGCGGACTGGTTTTACTATTAACCTTTGCCAAAAGTTACAACAAATTAATGATTTACCTTCAATGGAAATAGTGTAGGCTGGGTTCGGAATCGCAGCTCGCCGGTGGAACTCAGGCCGTTGATAGTCTAAGTGACTCGGGCGAGTCCAATTTGTCAGCCTGAGTTTGTGTCGAGCCATCCAAAGACCCAAAAAACCCTTAATAGGAAAAATCCTTAAAATAAAAGTAAGAAAAAATGATAAACAGCATAAAAAGTATATAAAAGATGAGACAAAAGTCCTTGGAAAATAGAAAACAAAGAACTATGGTTAAAGATCTCATTTTCTTTGAGAAATATGAGAAAAATAGAAAAACTAGAAAGATTGAGAAAAGGAAAAAACTTAAATAGTAAATACAAAAGTGATTATAAATCAATTAATAAATTGTTTTGTCATAGATTAAATTCATTATCTACAATTATATATACCCCCCGAGTTTGGGCGGGGGGGGGGTGGGGTGTTCTTGCTCGGCAGCCTGCCAAGCTCAGGTGACTCAGGGGAGTCTGAGTCGATTCCCCCTGGAGTTGGGAGGGTATTCTGGATTGGGAGCCTGCTGACCCCAGGTGTCTCAGGCACATCCGAGTCAACTCCCTTCGAGTTGGCAAACACTGGTGGAAAGTAATAATTGAATGCCCAAACTTTATTGTAGCTCCCTTACAGACTATTTTAGATCATCATGAAAAATCTAATTTTTTCCTTGAGGAATTGTGCCACATGTTCAGTGAATATTGAAGTAATTTTCCACTCTCTTAAAACTCTCGAAACTAAGTGAGTTGATTGTACACAATATTTTTTTTTTTTTTGAAAGGATCTTTGCTTGTATCATACTTAATAAACTGTGTACATAGTCCAGTAACTGAAAAATTGGCTGTCCATGTACAGGTGTTCTACATGATGATAAGTATAAAAAATTGGCGATTATAGAGAGCCCATAATAAAAAAATCAGGGACTAATTTTCATGGAAATAAATAATCAATGTACAGTCCCATAACTAAAAAATGTGGGAGAAGAGAGAGGGAGGGGGAGGAGCAAGATAAAAAGTGGGGGAAAAGACAGAAAGAGGTATGAGGGCAGGTCTACTGGCTCCAGATGTAGCTCTCCCTGGTGGGACCCCTTGATACCCCCTCTTTGGTAAAGGAGTCAGCTATTTGGTTGGTCTCCCTCCACGTGATGAAGCTGACTGGTAGATCCCCCACTTGGGAAAAAAAATGTGGTCAACTAATGCTGCGAGTTTCCATGGGCATTGGGCTCTAAGGGAGGCCCATATGCTAATATTTCCAGTGTTCCTTGACTTTGAGGTTATTAGCATGGATTCCACTTGAAGGGTCCTCGTCAGTCCTTGAGCAGGGCGATTGTCTCGGCCATTGCTGAGTCAAAAAAGCAGTAGTAGCGTGAGAAGGAAAGAATAGTGTTTCCTTGGGCATCTCTATTGATACTCCCATAACCAACTGGGCAGGTGATGCAGGGAGAAAAAATGGGGAATTGAATCCATCGTTCTCCGGAACGTTAAACAAGTAAAATCAGCAAGAAGAGACAAAGAAGATGGCTGTAAATCAAGCCAAGAGAAGAACTTTGTTCTTTAATAAAATAAAGTTTATTTCAACTTTTTTTATAAGCCTATGAAACCCTAATGTAAGTTAAGATTCAAGTAAATATTTAATACTCTAAAATACCCCTAAAACAATATCAAATTTCCAAAAAGTGCCTCTGTAAGCAGTAATGCGTGAATAGTACCGTGTGAACAGTAACATGTGAACCGTATTGCGTGAACAATAATGCATGAATAGTAATATGTGAACAATACTATGAACAGTAATTTCCAGGTACCTAGTCCACCATCCTTTTTAGGGGAGCATACTTTCCTTCAGGCTATAGGTGAATTTTATGCTCACTGTTTGCCCCTAACCTCAAGAACTCCGGCTCTCCAGCTTGTCTGTCAAGTGGAAATGAGACATTGGATGATTGGATTTTTGGGGAGAGTTGCTTTAATAAACATTATGTGACCTTCCAAAGAAAGGAATCTATCCTTCCAAACGGGAAAACTCGTAAAGATTTCTCTACATTGGGGTCCCAAACGTGCTTGTGGGGCTTGCCCTTCCAAAGGGGCAAGCCCAGGTATTTGGAGGTATTGGTTTGACACCACAACCAAATCTATGGCTTAGGCTACTCAATATTGGATGTTGTCCTCCCACTCACAGAAGTTTCCTCTTCATGCCTTAGACACCTCAAAACAATGAATGAGTCGTGCTCTGCGTAGGCATTACAGAACATTAGCGTACCATCTGCGTAGAGGAGGTGTATAATTTCCGGCCCCTGTCTGGACTTTGGAGTTGCTGAAGCCTTTTAGGATTCCGTCGCTGTAAAGATGAGATTGGCAAAGTACCTCAGTCACTGTGGAAACAAAAAAGGCAGAAGGGTCTATTGTCCACATATCCACATATTGGAAACTATAGTTTCTCTTTGCAGTTTGGCTATCTTGATCTTTTTCCTGTGATTTCTTTATAGAAAACTAGAAGATACAGTATGTGAATGGCAAAGCTAATTCGTATGTTTTATAGCAAAGCTTAAGCAATTCATGCAGATGCTTCGTGTGTTCTTTGTAAGTAACCTATTGGTTGTCCAGGACATAGTGGTACTTCAGATGATATGATAAAAATAGAGATCTACACATGGAATTGGCATCAAGGGTCTTGGAAACTTTTCCCATTGGATAGCACCTCCCTAACCATCAGTGATTCAAAAAGCGGACCCCCCAGTGCCTAGGCGGCCGCCTAGGCAGTCCAGAAGGCCTGGGTGGCAATCCCTGGGCGGGCGCCCAAGCCAGGGTGGCCGCCTAGGGCCTGTGCCCCGACTAGGCGGTACGGAACCCGCCTAGGCCGGTGCCCCGCCCAGAGGCAGAAATTTTTTTTTTGTATTTATTTATTTATTTTAAATATAAAGGGTTAGAAGGATGATTTTAAAGTCATTTGAAACCTAAAACTTATTGGAGCCCATTTTAGAGAGAGAAAGCCTCCTAAAAACTAGTTTTTGGTGATTTCTTTATGATCGAAGGGTTTATCAAAGTTGACAAAACTTGATCAAAACATTAACCATTGATATTAGATATAATTTTTGATGTTTTATAAATCTATTGGGGGGTTTTTTAAAAGATTTTGAGTCCTTAGAATCATCTTTGAGGTGGAAGTTTGAAGATTGAGCAATCAAATTCAAAGTAAGTGCCCTAAATACCTAATTTTTAATTTTTATACTATATATCTTTTTTTTATTGAAATGGGCATCCTTTTTTTATTAGCATCCCTGAAGTGATGTAGAAAAGTGGTTTGGGGGGGGGGTTTATCTCCTCGGAAAAGGGGTTTGAATCATATTAATCATTTTGTTGATGTTCTTTCACGTTCAATGGCTGGTCCAGTCTTTATACGATTGTCTAAAGAGCCTCTTTTCATGTTATCTCATTTAGGTCTGTACCCGACTATCTCAAGGAAGAACATTTTCTTATATTCTTTGCCACGTCTATCATTTGGGATACATTTAGTTTAGGGTAATTTTTTATATCACCAAGTCACTTGGATGAGGGTCTCGAGTACTTGATGAAATTTGAGCCATTCATACTTTAATTTGAGCTTCAAGTTTCTAAACATGAGCTCTACATATATCCTTTTCTCCTACAATGTTGGAAGGTTGTATTTGATATCGAGGACTGTTAACCTTGTTTAGTGCTGCGTATGATTTCCATGATGGATAATGTGTGTAAGCATGCATGTGTGTGTTCTAGGCTGAAGGAGATGAGACATCATGACAAATACTAAGATGAGGCTACATTCCACCTTTGCCTCTGCATTAGGGAATTTGGCTTTTAGATTTTAACTACACCGATTCTATCCATTTATCGCTACTTTGATAAAATCACTTTAACCATATTTGACAATATCTTCATGCACAGGCCGGTTCACATGGTTCAGCAAAACATTCTGCAGAAGATATCAGTGGTTCATTATCCCCTGTTGGAGTACCTGCACTGAAACAGCCAAAGTATTCTCCTGGCCTTTCAAATGGCTCAGCTAAGCGAACAGTGTTGTTTCCTAGCACTCAATGCAAGGTATGCACCTTACTCTTTTAACCCTTCTTGTTTGCCAGTTTTTCTTGATTTTTCTCTTATACTGAGAGAGCATTGGGTTTTTGATGCAGGTGATTTCAGGTTCACAGTTAACTGCAGCAAATAAGCTGATGGTCGCCAAACAAGCTGGGAAGCTTTGGAGATGGAAGAGGAGTCATCATCAGTGGCTGCTTCAGTTCAAGTGGAAATGGCAGAAACCATGGAGACTCTCGGAATGGATCAGGCACAGTGATGAGACGATTGTCAGGGCAAGGCCCAGGCCCCAGGCTTTGGTTGATGCCATTTAAATGTAAATCCTTAAGTATGAGAGAGGTTCCTTAAGCACGTGTAAATTTGGCGCACTATGTTCTCTCATCAGGAGATGCGGTTTTTGGAGGAAGAACGTGAGGTGAAATATTCTGGAGCTTTTCTGTAAAATGCTTTTACACACACACACACACATAATCTGGTAGCCGAGAGACAATTGTGGTACTTGCTACCCTAATCTTGCTTCATCTTTTTCTTTTTCCCACTCGCATGATAGTGTGCACTGAGTTATTTAATAATCTCTTTGCTTTATTGCAGAATTAAAACAATACATCAATGACAAGGAATAAGGAGGAATGAGAGTCCTAACAGTCATTATTTGGCGGAGTGCATCATGGTCTGCTTTCTTTTTGGTTGGCATTGGTCAGGAATAAGGGTCTCTGCTGTTTGGAAGTAGCTTCTTTGGCTTTGATACGGCCTCTCTCCCACTAAAGTGAATGGTTTCATCATAGCACTTCTTGTTGGTTGGCATTGGTCAGGAATAAGGGTCGCTGCTGTTTGGAAGTACCTTCTTTGGCTTTGATACGGCCTCTCCCACTAAAAGTGAATGATTTCATAATAGCATTTGATAGCATTGGGGGGCATCTTGTACAGTACAGTAGTAGCGGTGCCCTTCACCTTATCACAAATCTGAGGTTTTTTTTTTCTTTTCTTTTCAGTTTATGATTTTTTGGGGGGAGGTATAAGAATGCAGTCAGATTTCTGGATGCGGATTGTGGTGGGGCGAGGGCTGTAGAAGGTCTCAATAGTCTTGGCTAGTGTGTTGGGTTTGATGTTCTTTTGATTTGTTCAGTGTTTAGAAGCTACGATATTCATGGAACAGCTACTGGGACATTGCTTTTATTGTGATGACGGTTTTGCACGAGCTCCTTTGTCCTTTGTATAATTTCATCTATTGTTTTGCCATGAATACAAATTGTTTCACGAGTTAATTGATAACAGTATCTCTCTCCTGAATTTACTATGCACATTTGTCTTCTAGTGGCATGCATTATCAGCTGGTGGGTCATAATCTATACGGACTCCATTGCATTGCAGAGTTGATCTTTGTTATTTAGTTAGTAGACTTGTTCACTAACCAAAATTAAATGAAATACATAATTATAGTTGTGGCCATGATCATAAGGCTCACATGCACCAGCTAATGACCATTTAGTATTGATTTTCATCTTTTTAATCTCTTCTTAAGGCTATCATTGCACACTTCTTGCGAGTCATTTTTCAGCCCATAAATTCATCATAACCCCATGACCATGAGGTTTAAATTGGGTAGAACCCATTCTATGAGCAATTTTAGGACCAATGAACCACAAGAAAAAAAGACAAAAAAGACTATATGTTGATGGAAAAACTTCTACATATTGAAAAAAGAATTTCAAATTCTTGGACAATGTCGATATAGAGAAAGAGATAAGAGTTAGAAAACAGAAATTTTATCTCTTATATAATTAGGATTTTTTTTTTCTAATTCCTTTGTACTCAAAAGCTAAATATCATAATTGCGCATTATATTACTCTAAAATTTGTTGGCTAACTACCTTAATCTCTTCCTTTATTAGGTTTCTCATTCAACTAAATGTTGTACGTGATGCACTTAATTTGGGTTTAATATATGTAGAATAGATAAAAGTACATGTTCAAATATTTTTTACTAAAATATGATGGTTTTAATAATGTTGCCAAACAAAATTTCTCCTAATCTAAAATGCTTAAGAAAGCATATTTTTAATTTCATAATTTAAATAAATTTTTAACTTTGGGCAGTACTTTTTATTTATGAAGAAATTAGAAAAATTTTAATATGAAATAAAAAAATTTATATCTTTTGAGTAAATATTTGATTTTCAAAAGTCCAATAAAAAATATTATCCATTTCAATTCATCATCATCATCTAAACCTTACCTCAACTATTTGGGGTTGGCTATAGGAATCCTATTATGCCACTCTAGTCTATCAATGGCCACATCTTCAATCATATCATATCTTTTCTCACTACTTCGATCCATGTCCTTCTGGTCCCTCCCTTTATCCTTTAGAGCCTTCTACTTGAACCAAATCTTCGCTCTTAATGGGTGTTGTATTAGGTCTACACTGCATATTGGCCTACCTACCTAACTCTACTTTTCATCTTATCGCCTATTGGAGCTACTTCTAAGTTCCCTCTTATGTACTTATTTCGAATTTTGTCTTTCTTGTCTTTCTACTCATCCATCTCAACATTATCATCTTAGCTACATTCATCTTATGAAGTGTAGCTTGACCGCTCAGCATTGGCAACTAAAAATCATCCCACACTCGACCACATGATAGAATTTTTCATATGAAAATATTTTCCAGAAAACAATTTCACGCGCCTCAAACATGCCATAAGAGTTTGTGTGGCTTTGGATTTAGAGAAACCCCGTTTGAATGAGGTATGGCTTTGGATTTAGTTAAAATGCAGCAAATATTGAATCTAATTCTTTTCAAGCTTTGACAGATTTGGAGGTCGATGGAGATACTATTGCTGCATCCAAACGGCAGCCACGGCTGCCGCGAGAAAGCTTCAATGCATAAGTGGATCTAGTGATGACGTGTCTGCAGTAGGATTGGCGGATGGCATTGGTTCGCCACATCAGCAGAAGGATAAGGACGATATTACTGACTGCTAGATGGTACTTTGCGCAAGGATCTTTCACTGCCTTCTATTCTCATAGATGAGGCAAATCATGAAACACCATACGCTTCTAATTCTTCGGTGATTGAAATTTCAAAGCTGACGAAATGGCAGGAACATTATTGGAAGGAAAAATTGAGTCCTTGGAGCACTCACACGATGTATATGTTGAAGGCAAGTGTGGGATTGGGAATGGGTTGGGGTCTGGTTGTAGTACCTTCCATCCTAGTCATCACATTGTGGTTTTCATCCCCATCATTAAAACCACCCCACTATCACCTTCAAAACGTGCACCTCAAATTTCTGCCATTGTTGATATTGGCGGGACACACAAAGCAAAGTCTCGTGGCAATGATGTTTTTATGCTTACACATTTTGGAGGTCCCAAGAAGGCAACAATGAAGCCATACGGAATTTGGAAGGCTGTGTCGTCAACTAATAGAGGAAAGCCTAGCTCCACAGGTAAGCTCACTAACCTCTAAATCCTAAGTCCATGGAATGTCCATGGTTTGAGAGGCCATGGAAGGGTTTTAAATATTGAACAATCATAATGTTGGACTCTTGTTCCTTTTGGAGACCAAACTGCCTACTGAATTGATCGCTAAATGGGATAGAAAACTTGGTTTCTATGATAACGTAACAACAAATGAAGTGGATGGTCGATCACGAATTATGGTTTTATGGAAACCTTATATATTTTTGGTTAATGTGTTGAATGTCAGTGATAAGATGATAATTATTCAGGCAACTCGTTTATGTAATGGTTGTACCTTAACAATTTTGGGTTTATTTGCTTTTAATTTAGTTGTTCAGAGGGCGTTACTTTGGGATCAGATGAGGGACATATGTGTAGCTACCAGGGGTTTTTGGATAGTTTTGGGTGACTTCAATACTTTATTTGTAATTTAAAAAAGACGGGTGGTAGAAATTCTTTACCTCAAGACTCTGGAGATGTTGCACATGCATTGGCTGACTGTGCATTAACTAATCTAGGTTCAATGAGGGGGTGGTTTTCATGGTCTAATAGCCAAATTAATAGAAGATGTATAAGAGAATGCCTAGACCGTGCACTGACAAACATGGAGTGCGTTTTGTCTTATCCAAAATCTAAGATAGAATTACTCCCCATGCGTAATTCTGATAATTGTTTGTTACTTGTTACTCTATCGACTTGGTTTCTGAGTTGACCTAAACCATTCAAATAATTCATATCTTGGCAGCAGTTTTCAGGTTTTTGGATATTATTTTTGAATCATGGCAGGATAGGGTGGAGGATACGCCTATGTTAAGATTTGTTACAAAGTTAAAAAGGTTTAGGAAGGACCTTAGAAAATAGAACAAGTGCTCCTTGACATGTTGGGGACCAAATATCTGCTACTTGTCGGTAGGTAGTGGACTGTTCTTGGATTTTACAGGGTCAGAACTAACACCCCTTAATAATGAGTCCATAACTCTCAATTCCCCCATAATGCTAGAAGATCCTACTATAAAAAATACAAAATATCACTAGGGTATACATAAGAGAAATACCTGATCCTCTTGTTAAGTGCTCCAAAACAACACAGAAAACCTTAGTTTGGTAAAAACCTTTTGGTGATTGAACATGCCAATAATTATTCCAGAGGTGCATCACTTGACCACAAAAGCCATTGGCTTTCTAATCTCTAATTCTAAAACTCATCAAAATAGTGAAATAAAACAAATATGACAGAAAATAGATCTGACTCTAAATCTAATGAAAGTTTGATAAAGTTGATCTAGCACTGTGTATATAATATTTAAATTTTCTTTTTTCTCACTGACTCAAACACTTACAAAGGTCCAAGTACAATAAGACTCACTTGAAATAACAAAAAATATAACTAAAAGTGTTATCATTTGCTGCCACTAATTACAACTTCTTTTATTTAATAAGTGAAAGTAACATAATGCTTATGGGCACAAAAAATGAAGAGACTACATAGCACCAAGTAAAGATACTAGAAGATTACCTTAATTGGACTTAGTATAACCCAAACCGGATCTCCTCCTCCAATCATGCACAAGATCGATGGTCTATCTCAGATCTACTAAATATGGGAAAGCTAAAGCTACAACCCATTAACAATATGTGAGCATGAAACAACTAGGATCAATTCAAGGCCTCAATGCCTTAGGCAATGTGTGAGCGAGACATACCCCCTCTTGAGTTTATCTTGTGGCGTGGCCCCTATTCTTTCAATCTAAGAGAAATGATAGAGATCTTAGTGTTGAAGGGTATTTTCGACACTTGTAATCCTCGGTGCGAATAAGGAAGAAGCAGTTTGTGACCTAGGTCCGCAGGTACCAAAATTCCTATGGACTATGGAAGCAGTAGTGGAATAAACCTTGATCTGTAGCATAATCTCCAACACTTTCAGAATGACCTAATAAAGCTAAAAAACGTGGCTATGGGCCCTCTCTTCTTTCTTAGCCCTCATCTCTTGCTCTTCTCTTCCCTCTTTTCGGTTTCTCTTCGACCCACAGTCTGCCCTTTCACCTCCCTCTTCTTCTTCTTCTCTCCCAAGCGGTATCATGAGTCCTCTGTTAAGAAGATGCCGCGAGGCTGTCAGATTGACACGGGCTTTACAACACCCACCCCCCGGTCTTTTGTTTATAAAAATATACTCACCCAACGACAAGTCAGGGTCCCCACTTGTCTGGACAACTCATGTGCGTGTGTGGCTGTAGGAAAGAAGAAAGGAGGTCAAGGGAGTCGAATCCGAACGAACTTCATGCTTGGGGGGCTTTCTTCGTGATCTAAGAGGACGCCCAGGCAAGCAGCCCGAAAGTGTCACAGACTGTGAGGTAAATCCCGCATAACGACCTTAAATTCCTCTCACTAGTTGGTACCCTATCCGCACAGTACGCGCGTACCCCACTACGTGCGTCACGGTTCTTGAGAGAGCGGTCTCCGATCTCGAGGCTCTCAAGAACTCGGGTCTTCCCTACCCAATCAGTGAGATCGAGGCACTCAACCACTTAGATGTGAGAGAGAGAGTAGAGAAGAACCCTAGGCGATGGCATGCCACCCAAGGAGAGAGAGAAGAGAGATGTGTGGTGTAGAGATTTAGAGGTGGGAGAGCTCTTATTTATAAAATATCCAGGGGTTAGGGTTTCTTTAGGGATAACCATACTTATGGAGATTAGATCCAGACCATTGCTCATAGGAGATTGTGGGGTGAGCGATCTGAACCATCCATTCATTAGATCAGCCATCACGATTCAAAAGAAGGTGTTAGAACCTTATCACTCAGCTTCCTGAA